GGTGCAATGTTAATTCCTCGTTACCGCGTGAATATGTTAATTTGAAATCAAAGCTTAAAACTCCACCGTATCAGTGTCCACCCGACTACAACAATCCTCCAACATATGACATAATTGAGCAACAACAAACGCGCAACGTACTAAAGCAACAGCACATGAACTCGCTCAACATTGAACCAGAAACAGATGCCTTAAGCAAGGTTAATGTAAAATTATTAAAGCAACAATACCAACAGCAGCAACAACACAAAACACCAACCACGACACAAATTTTAAATACACAGACTGAATATGCGAATACACAACCAAGTAGTGGACGGCGCGGGGCGGATTGCAGCAGTAAGTACAACAACAACATCGTTGAATTGCAATTACGGCATTGGGAAAATATAAGTAGTAATGGTGTAAATAACCAAAATAGAATGCTTGACAATCTGACATTGTTGTCCTGTCATGAGCAGCAGCAACAAAGACAACAATTACAGCAACAGCAACAGCAGCAGCAGCAGCAGGACCAACAGCAGCAGCAACAACTACACTCACGGTTTCGAAATAATCCTAACAATTGCGGTGATGGCGCAGTTGTGAACAAGTACAATAGCAACGATTATATAGAGCTAAAACAACAACCAAATTGTAATGAGTTAAATGTATATCGCACACAGCAAAATCAAGCTCCTCCAAACGCCCAACATCAGACTCATCCACTACGAATCAATAATCAACGTTCCGAAATAGAACAAAGCGCAGACAATGCACAGGAACAGCCCACTGCAGCGCCACGTCGTTTTGCACTACCATTAACTGCAACTCCACGTCCTGCACTCAGATCAACACTTTTACAAAAACGGCCAGACGAGACGAGTTGCAGCAGTTTTGAGCAATTAAATCTCATAGGACCGCCAGGGGAAATTGCATGCGATAACAATACCATAGAGAAATGTAAAGTGAATGCACGGATTGGCAGTCAGGCACGAAATCCACAGACTAACCAAAATACACAAAAATATGTCCTTGATAATCAGAAGCATATAGCTACCGATGATAAACAAGTGAAGGCTGAGGGTGAGCATACAGGTTCTTCCGCGGAAAGTAAAGAAATTGTTATGGATGCCTCAAAGCAACATTACGGCAACATAAATCGTTTGCAAATTAATGAGAATAAAAGGTCGGATGGCACTTTAAATGGAATACAACAAATGCATGGTGATCAGACACGGTCCCCGATTTTACATCGACCCAGCCTAGTACGTGGTGGTTCGAGCCATGAAATCGGAACGAAACAATTTGATGGCACAGTTCAAAAGCAAAAACAACAAATTCAAATGCAACTACAACAAAATCCCCTGACAAAGCAATTGTTTGGAGTAGTTCAAAAAGAGGTAAGTACATGGATTATATCTTAAAGTGGATATTTAAAAGACTGTTATGTACTCGTATGATTGAAATATAATAAAATGTGTTGTTACATACATACATTTCGTGGCAGCATTATTAGAAATTTATTTGTCAGATTATAGGATAACTGAAACGCTTATTATTAGTCTAGTAAAAATAATTTTCATACATAAATTTGTCGTTAAATGAAAACCCATAATATAACTAACGAAGTTATTTCTAGAGGTTCTCCGTAGTCAAATTATAACTTTTGATTAACACAATTTCAATTCCTTATAAGCGTTTATCCATTGAAAGGAACATAAAATACCTAAAATAATTGCTGCCATTAAGAGCAACTAGCTTCATTCCTAAGCCATTACTCTAATGTGACTCCTACGCCCTACACAATTGTTTGGCCTTCCTTCCTTCCTTGATGCCATCCTACCAAAAAAAGTAATGTAATACACTAAACGGGGTCACCTTTGTTTAAACGTTTCGGTACGCTTTGTGTTCATTCGAATCACGAACGAAGAACGCGGCCTGCTCCCTCCCTCCAAGTGGACAGCAGCCGCAAATTTGACATTACACACGCAGTAACGAGATGAAATGTGTGAAGAATATTGTGTTCCGACCCTGAGTTTATATATCAGAGAGAAGAGTTATGAAAGTATTATATCCATACTTCGTTAAGTTCTCTCTTCGTATGCGCTTAGCGAGGACCTACAGTCTGCGCAGTACAACTCTCATCTCATAGTAATACGGACAAATACGATTGTTTACTTACCGGCAGTGAGTGTATGTTGTATCGTCTGTGGGATGTTTTGTATTATTTCTTTCAAAACCATAGGTTCAACAGGCGTTCAGTTGGAAATTAGCCATACAAGTGTTCGGTTATCTAATATTTCTTATATGCACATACATCGACAATTTTAGAAGTTTAAAAAGTTAAGACTTGAAAACTGTTTTAATAAAGGTTTTTAATGATATAACAATTTTTTCCACATAAATTTGTTGAACACTCGATATAGCTCACTGGAAAGAAATATATTTGAGGTATGTATATATTGTTTACTTTTTGTTTTTGAACTTTTAAAATACTAATTTTATATTAAATACTATTAATTATTTTCTTTATATAAGTGATTGATTTCTTTTAATTTATCTAATGATAACAGTCAAAACTTTGAGAAAGAAAATGCGAGAGATAGAATCTCTTTGGATAATGAAAAATGTTTATATTATTAGATTTTTACTAATTTTTGTTTTGAGTTGTAAGGAAGGAAACTCTAACGATTTTGTATCCCAAAATTTTAATATTATATAAGGGTTTAAAAATGCGAAAGAGACGAAAAAATATTCAGTATACAAATCAGACTATTCAGATTAACTATTTTTGAGATATCAAGGAGATATCTTGAATACATACTTTGTCTAATAGAGTTTCGTTTGGCATTGTATTACTCGGTAAATATTAAATATACAAGTATATCCCTTCGTATACGAGTCTATCTCGAACCAATGAAATACCTTACAAATTTTAAAGCAGACTGATACGAAATATCCTGTATATATCTTAAGTCACTTTTTTTATAAGGAAACATCATATCAAAGGTTTTTTCCAGAAAATATTTCTTATTTGTTCCAATTTTAATAACAGTTACTTTCTTTCCGGTTTATTTTTTTTTTCACTTCTACTGTTGTTGTTGTTACTGCAAATATTTTTTCTATTGTTGTTGTTATGTACGGGTTATGCGTAATAACGAATGTCAATTAATGCGAAGATCACCTGAGACTTCTCAATTTATTGTTTTTCTTTCGAGTTTTGATTAATTTAAATCTATTTATTAACTTCTGAGTTATGCTTATAATCTATGAGTTTATTACCTCAAAGTATCTGTTATAAATAACATTAAGCAATTCAATTTCTATAACTCTAAATACCCAATATCTTTTATAATTCTGCAATATAAAGTATTAATTATGTATTAAATAATATAAATTACATATTAAAATCAGTAGCTTGTGTAATACCATGTTTCCACTGGTCTCATTTAAACGGAGACTAGGGCAGAGCCGTTGGTCATTAAGGCTGCTAATGAGGATAATTAACCACACAAAGAGGTTGCATAAAAATGAGCTCATTATAAATAAATCAACTCATTTGAGACGAAAAATATCAAATGCAAAATTAAAAATAAATTTCCTAGACATGAAATTCCCAAAAATTGCAATATTTGTCACATGTTTTATATGTAAAATATAAACAAACACGTTATTTAACATTTATAAATTAGCTTATACCAATAGAAACGACCAAGTCTTAATTTTATTAATATAAGTAATTTTAGCTACAGCGGATATAATGTGTTTAGAAGGGTGTTTAGAAGGTTGTTCTAACTATTAAAGTTTTTTATATTTTTATTTAATGTAAAAAATATAGTTTAAAATATTTTTCTGAATAAAATAGAACATAAATAAAATTTATTAACTATTATACATTTATGTTATAAATGCCTCTCGTTGGTTCTAGCTTGAATGTCTCTTTACTACCTATTATTACGAGAATTTGTGGATTTAACACGACTTTCTTAGCTAATTGACGAGGATTTGTTCCTCCATCCACCACAACTAACTATCAAACATAACTTTAAGTTTTAATTTAAAATCTTTTATTTTAAATATCCTTTATCATTTATTTTAAATATTTTATTCACTAAAGCTCGCTTAAATACATTAATATAAAATATTTTACTTTCAAAAAAATTTTGATAACAGTTTTTTTATATCTTAAGGATTCAGTATTATTTCGGATTTTTTTTTATTTGGTTTAAAATAAAAAATAATTCATTTTATGTTTATAGTTCAATTTATTTGTATATTTACAATGAAATATTTTTCTAAATCAAAAGAATATTATTAAAAAATATTAAATATTATGTCTTTATGTTTAAATTATAAATATTTTCTTCACTAAAACCCATTTAAATTCATTAATACAAAACCATTAAAATTTTTAATGGTTTAAATAAAAAAATTTAAATAAATAATTTAAATAAATTTTTATAAAATTTTGATAAGAATTCTTATATATCCTTAAGGATTAGGTATTATTCTGAATGACATTGTTTTTTTTTTTTGTATATTGTTTTAAAAATATAGTCTAAAATAATTCTTTTCATCTATTCATTTCAATTCATTTAGTGTTTTTATTAATATGAAATATTTACCTAATTAAAAAAAAATATGATTAAAAAATGTTATGATATGTGATAATAATATCACATTATAATATGTTATTAAAATAATAAATAAATAAAATAATATATAATATAATATTATAATAATAAATATTTTCTTTACTAGTGCCCATTTATTTATTTATTATTTATTTATTTATAATAAATATTTTTCCTTTACAAAAATTTGTGATATTGATAAGAATTTTTAAATATCCTTAAGGATTCAGTATTATTATGAAGGATATTTTTTTTTATTTGGTCTTAAAAATATATTCTAAAGAAATTCATTTCATCTATCATTTAAATTAAGTTTTTGTTAATATGAAATATAATTCTAATTAAAAAAAAATTATGATTAAAAAATATTATGATAAGTGATAATATCACATTAAATATGATATTAAAATAATAATTTAATATAATAATAAATTAATATTTTAATAATAATATAATATAATAATAATATAATATTTTAATAATAATATAATATAATATAATAATAATAATAATAATAGTTTCTTCACTAAAGCCCATTTATTCTTTATTCATCAATATTAAATATTTTTCCTTTATAAAAATTTTGATAAGAATTATTGGATGTCCTTAAGGATTCAGTATTATCAGTTTATCATTCAAAATATTTACAAAGGTTTTATTTGGCAAAGTGTTGCGTTTGTTTGTTGCTATTGTGCAACTGCGTTCGTTGTTTGGATTCACACTTGTTTGCCTTAGAGTAGTCCTGATAAGATTCCTTATTGATAAATGTTTTTGTGTCCTCGTGTGCCGGTTTGTTATCAACAAACCGTTGCTCTTTTCAAACGTTTTATAAGAGTACAACAGCATCTTTTAACGAGACAACTCGTATAACATTGCTACTGGTATAAGAGTCTGTGTCGTGGTTTCGTTAAATATTTTGTATCTTAGAGATACATCTTTTGGAGTATAGATTCAGTTAAAACTTAGAGCTCGGATACTTTACTTCGGTTTTTTATGGTGCACGGATAATTTCTTTTCCAAATAAAATCTATCTCCTGTTCTTAATCTTTTTTACACCATAAAAATTAATGCACCATAAATAAAGTTAATAAATTTAAGTTGTGTAGTTGTTGTTCGGTGGTTAAAAGTGCAAAAAGTTTTACTATTTGTGAGATATTAAATGCGAAACTCAACGGTTCTGTGGTAGATTTTATTAAACAAAAAGTTCAATAAGTAATGCAAGAGATGTTTGTGCAAAATTGCAGACTTTGTGGAAAGGACATTTTTTTTTAGAGACTCAAACACATCAAAGGAATTTAATATTAATACTAAAAGCTTAACAAATAATCGAAGCAAATTAGTTTAGAAAAGAGTTTAGTTTGTGGCTGTATCTGTGTGTGGCTGCGTTTTCGCATACATACAAAGAAAATTTTTATTGTAGTTGATCCCCACTTAAATGCAATTGTTTTGGATTTATATTTTAACTATGTGGGTGACTTGTGGTGCATTTACAATTGTACTCCTGCCATATGGAAGCTCTTCCTTAGCTCTGCTGCAGGAGCAAATATTTGAAAATGTTAAATGGAAGCAATTCTTGAAAAAGAAACTAGTCTAACGAAGGACATATTATTTATAACTGCTGCTCTTGTCCTTTTTCATGGCAATGTACTTATTGCATTCGATGGGAGATGCAAGTATCCTTCAACTGTGAAATTGAAAAATTTTTCTCCTCCTTTCACCAAGTACTAATGTATTATGTTATACTTATTACTTAATTCATATCGCTGCATTACATCCATCGTCAAGTATCGTATGTAGTGAAATATTCCAAATATTCCAAATATTAATGTAATGAATAATGAATAATGAATAAAGAATTTTTTTTTTGTGTGAAACTGTTGAAAATATTTTTAATGAAATATTTGCAACATTCATGAAAGTTTCGAATATTCAAATTTTATTTTTAAACAAAAATAAATTGTGTCAAATTTTGTGAAGTGAATTTGAAATGCATAACAGCAATTTGCTTAATTTTATGGCGCTGCCAGCGAAAGTATAAAGTATCTTGATGGTCCTTTAAACTGAATTTCAAAATTTATGTCTTTGTAGCATCTCATACTTTGCATCTCTTTGAATCGCAGAAACCTTACCATCCTTACCTTCCCTTTATCTGCTGATATATTCCATGTGGTCCGTTTAAATATAATTTTTGTACATGCAGCATAAATATTTTATATCGCAAATGTGCGTGCGTGCTCTCGAAGCGCCTGCACAAACCCATAAACCCACAAAATCTACAAAATCTACATTTACTCAATTTAATTCGTAAATAAAAAGAAGCACGAAACACAAAGGATTCACATGCATCACAAATTATTTTCCACAGAAGAGTATCCAGCGCACAGCTTCAACGCACTAAGCCCAGCCATATTGTTTCAAATATTTCGCATCTACAAAATACAAAAAACAAAACAATGCCACATTGAGTTCGAGTTTGAATCTATTTGAGTCTGAATCTGTATCTGTATCTATAGCTGTAGCTGTAGCTGTAGCTGTAGCTGTAGATGTTGCTGTATCTGAAACTGAATGCAAATACGAATTTGCATTAAATTATTTTGCACGAAATGCAAGCAAAAATTATAATTTTTATGTGTCGTGGGCAAAACAAAAGGATTTGGTTTGCTTAAAGCGTTTGTGTAAATCCGCACATATTTTAACATTTTTATAATTCAATTAAGCCATATTTCATGTTTTTGCATTTAAGATACTAAGGATTGAATTGGAATTGTGTGTGAGTGCAAATATTTGTTTTGGACTTTATGGTCCAACTATTTTGCACTTAACATGATTAATTGACGGAGTCAAAGTTCGAGCCAATATGAAGTAATTAATTACGAATGTTTTGTTATTAATGATATAAAATTTAATTGACTGCCGAAGTACACATAACGCCAATATAGGTTGCCCTCTCTCAGTGTTTGGTTGCCCTCGTAGGGAGCAACCTACAACTAAAATACAAAAACCGCAGACATGGCCACTTGAGCCCGAGCTACCGCTTGAGTCTCAATGGGCTGACGGTGTTACGGAAGGCTATTGGGATCAAGGTGGTCCATGGGTATGTTGAAACATATATAAATTAAAAACAAAATAATTAAGTGACATTATTTTTTGATAATAAAATAAATCACCTAATAAATTTGATTTTAAAAATATAATTATAAAATTTTTAACTAAATTTATAATAATCATATGTGTATTAATTTTTAATTTTAAATTTATATATTACTACGTTAAAATATAAAATAATGGCACAGTGATTTCTAGTAACGAACTCAGTTTGTAGGGATTCCAATGCAAAAAAAAATAATTTTCTTAAAGAAATATATTTTCCCACTTCAAAATGTAGAATGATATAGCAGGATATAATATCACCATCAATATGGCATGGTATATATATATCATACCATAATAATGGACTTAATGATAGCAACAAGTCTGCCATAAGATAAGAATACATGAGGTAATGAGTCCCAATGAAGCAGAGTACTGCATTCATATATGGTATATATAGGTATACCATACCATATTGATGGACTAGATGAAAGCAACAAGTCTATATATAAGCTAAGTTAGTTAGCTCTAAGTCTAGTTAGTCTATAAGCTAAGAATATTTGAATATATTTGAATATATAATACATATTTGAACGCTAAATGTTAGATATTAAGGGCATCCTAATATCACATGGTGATAGAAAGACCTAATTTATTAACCTTCTCTTGGCCTAAATCAAAGACAGTCACAAAAAATATGACTATAAGTTTCATTCACTTACAAGCAAGGTCCACATTCTAACACTTCTGATAGACCTATCTTGTCGAATTAGTAATGCAGATCATGGTACAATATTACAATTACCTGTCAATAAGTTCAGTTCCATTTCTCTCAGAAGACACGAACTATCGCGGGGCGTAGTGAATAACCAGCTTTTTAGCTGGTCTGTTACTTTTTTTAATTACAAATTACTTGTTCATGAAAAACCTCATTGTGGATCAACTTAGTTCATCATAGTTTATATTGAATTATATTACTTTATTACTATTATATTAATATATTACTATTATATTACTATTATATTATTATATTACTATTATATTATTATATTACTATTTATAATTGAATGCTAAGTGGTATTTCGAATTGGTATTTCTCCGATCATTTACAAATGCTCATTTATGAAAAGGACATTCTGTATGCCTTACCTGAGACGTGTAGATTTTAAAATTATATTATGATAGTTTATGAAACGTTTATAACTCTCTGGAGCTCGCTATATCTTATCACCATGTCTTGCTTTTTAAATGATATATCTTTTGTTTTAACATTATAACTGCGGAGGTTTGGCGCTCATCTACAACAACTTATCGAAAAATTTTACCACTTTGGCTTTGATTGATCTATTAACCGCTTATCTTATTATAATATAGTAGCCGGTAAAAAACTAACTCTGATTTGCTTGTTGGTTTTTCAATACTTTCAACATGAATCCTTTACCTTCTGTGAGACCCAGATTTTTTAGATTGTAATTTTATGCTATATTGATATTGTAGACTTTTAGTTGTGTTGCATTTTGACGGTTCCGTGTTATTTTACTTTTTTGGAAGCATTCTGTTAACTTATTTATAAATTGTCTGAGTGTAGAATGTACCTATACCTTATTTACTTACAGTGGAAGCATTCTTCGATCCATTATTGGTATATAAACTGTATAGCGTTGAAGATATTGGTGAGCCTTGTGGAATCTTGTGGAATAGTAGAAAAATGATATCGAGCTTGTTATAAACCTTGAAATTAAAAATCTGTTTATCAGATATAAATATTTTTTGGTATTGTATGTAAGATAAATATAATAATTATAAATAATCGGAAACTAAGTAAAAACATTCAAAAGTATCAATAAAATTAATTTAGATTTGGATGTAGCATCAACTTAGATACAAATTGTAAATTTTCATAAATTATATTAATTAATTAACACGAACTTAACTATTTGATTCAAAATATTGATATTGATTATAAATATTGAAATTAATTGTACGTTACAATATAAGTATTTGTCAGAATAAATAGATGTGTATGCCTTGATGATATTTCGAAAGAATATAATTTCATTATACGTTCCCGATTCTTGCAATCTTCAGTATTTTTCATATTCAGTCTATTTTATATTTATATTTATTAATACGATACAAAATTGTCCAGAAAGCTCAATTTATAATTGAATTCTAATTTAATTTTCTCCTGTGTTAATTAATGTGCTTGATAAAATCCTTATTAAGGCTTTTTAAATTAAACAATAGGTGACTGACTTGATTTTATCTAAGCCTAATAATTGCTTTAATGAGTAGCTTTAAATGGATTATAAACATCAGCAATAAATGTATTATTCCATTCCATCCTATCCGTAGATGGATGTTTTTGCTTGCTATAATTATTATCAGAAAGAGCAGTGGCAATTTATGATCTATAAAATCTATTGTAATAACCCTGAGGAAAGATTTTTAAACTAACATGGACTAATTAAGGCTATCTTATAAACGTAACAAAGGCTCTTCTTGATTCTAAGTCCCAGATTTCATCGGTTTAATAAAAGTCAATCGAAAATGCTAAGCTCATCTCCTGATAAACTGAGGGTTCGAGCTGATAAAATGAGCGGAAGTTCCATTCAGCATTTCACAGTATCTGTGTCCCTAAGTCTCATCTTTAGAAACTGGTGGTTATAGGGGCATTTCCAATTGAGAATGTCCAGTGATTAATTTGAGTTCATATCTATTTATTCATGATATTTGTTCCATTAAATTTAACTGTTATATCATATGCATCATCGTTTTATTATTTTAAACTTTTTGAATTGCTGTTGTAAGCAGCTTTAAACTGTGTACATTATCTCCTCTATCGATTCAATTTATTTACACAAATTATATTTATCTACGAGTACATATTTTTTTAGATATTTACAAAATAATATAAATTATAAATTAATTTTAAATAAAATTTTATTTTTAAAAGGTGTTCCAACCAAAAACTTCACTTCCCGTGTACAGAAGTGAATGTGAGTTGTCAGGTTCTTATGCTTCGCTCGAATGTCCTTCACCACCGGGGCCACCAATATGTCTTCCGGAAACTCAAAGAGATCCACAGGTATAAAAGCTAATGCAAGAACTAGCATGAATTAAATTAATTGTTTTAATTTAGGCACGGCTTAGTAATTATTTAAGAAATCTTTATCAAGAACTAAGTTTTAAAGAGCCTGTAATTCCACCCTGGGCAATACCTATTCAACCGGGTGCCTTATGCAGTGCACGTCTTGAACCAGATTTGCGTCTCAGTTTAAATTCGCATGGTTTTAGTGATTCTTTGACAGTTGACCAGATTTTGGTGTCTTTACAGGTAATTGAAAATGTTTACAGGTAAATTTAATATTTACTTACATACACAATAAAAATAATTTCAGACAAAAGAAGGAACTTTTCTGGAGGCACCACGAAGGTGCTTAATTGAATGCCCCACTTGGGCATCGCGAAGTAATCTTTGCTTAAGAATTTTGTATGCTTGGGCGAAGGAACCACCATGGCCACAAAAAGGTACGCCCGTAGCGCTAACCTTATTTATTCCACTCAATGAATTGAAACGTAGTTTTGCTCATTACTTGGAAAAGGTAATTTAATTTTTAAAAACTCTAAATTAATAAAATGTGAATCAAAATGTATTTTCTATTAGGAGATATTGCCGAAAGGATCTCTCAATCCCTTTACGAGTGGAGTTGGTGGTTTTAGTGCAGCATGGAACTCATTGGAATCGCTTGGGCCAAAATTGTTGATTATTTTAGATGGCTACGGCCAAAGCAATCAGAAATCTGGTAGCGCCAGTGCTAATATTGTGGTAACTCCGAAGAAAAATAAAAATGGTAGTTTTACCGCTTGTGCAACTGCAAAACATTATCCTTCAGATGTATACGATTTACTTGACGGTAGATTATTTCCTGAAGCAAGAGTTATTATAACTACGTATTCATCTAGCTGCATGGAATTAATGCCTATTGTTCAGCGACATATTGTTTATGAAGGTTTAACATGGGGTAGATCAGTTTCGATTTTGGAAGGCGGGCAGTGGGGTGGTCCATCCAGAATGTTAGATGCAATTCAGGAAAGTCCTCATCTACGTAAAGCAATTAAAACACCGCTTGGCTGCTTGGCAGTGGCTTCAATTTTTGATGCACACGGTGGTGACTTGCCTATTGATGAATTGGATGTAGTCGAATCAATTATGAATTGTGTAGTTCCCGGTGCTTCGTCTGCTGTGGTGTCTGAATTAGGTAGATTGGCTCTATTTTGTATAAAAATGAAACGTACTTGTTTGACCATGAATGAGATTAAAATGTATTGCTCAACTCCTGATCATATAATGGGTTGTTTAGATAAATGTGTTTTATATGGAAAAACAGCTAAAAAGAAAGCTGAGTATGTATTTAATCCAATATGCACTGGAATGATGGAGTTTTTAGCAGCTAATTATATTGCGTCATTGGTATCTCGCCCGGGTCTTTTGGCAGCCGAAATTACAGGTATGGCTATTGGAGATGAGTTAGATCCAGAATTATTAAAAGTATTAAAGTTTGCAATGGCACTACTTGGCGAACGCGCACATATCCTCTTATCAAGATTGACGCCATTATGGCTATCACCACAAACTGTATTTACTCTAGCTTTGGCTGGTGGATATAGTGAAGCGAATATAGCAGCTCTATGTGATATTCTTGGCATATCGAAGCATCCACCTATATCTCCATTAGAAACGAAACCCTTGTGGGTACAAGTACGCTCTGTTCCCACAGATTTAATGGGTTGGGGTATGGCGTTAAAAAGTTCTACGTGCACGCTCAAAAATTTGGAAGTTATATATCAATTAGAAAAACAAAATCTTACAGAATCAAGAAAAGCTATTGATATATTTTTGGATTCAATAGCTTTAAATGAAAGTGTTTCAACACTACGTTTATCATCTCTTATAGAAATGGATGTGAAGGATACTGAAATCACATTTTTGGGAAATTGTGTGTCGAGGCTTTTACTTAAACCACGTTTGGAACACTTTGAGCTAGTTTTAACACTTATCGAAGAGGATCCACCAATGTTAAAATTGCAGCCAGTTGTTGCAGCTTTATGTAGA